GAGAAAAGGAGAAGATAAAGTTGGTGTCAGTATCGACATCGGCATGCGTCGAAAATTAGCAGAATCTGGCTTTCGAAGCTTTTCTGCGAAGGTTATTAGTTCTGAGCCATTGACGTCTTTCGTGCTGGGACTCTTTGTGTTGAGACAGCATCTCATTTTTAGCGCGTATCATTCTCTGAAGAGCTCTCCTTCTTCTATGAACAATGCTCTATTTGGGCTACTCTCTCGTTATTATTCTTTTTGATCTCAACCACCAAGGCGCCTTCTTGAACTGCTCCTTTATGATACCTTACTAGGCATTATGTAACTTCAACATTGCACTTTACTAAAGCACATGAACTATTTCTGTGGCAGTGCATTTGCTAAAACCAACATAACCATTCGTTTTACTCTCATCTGCTGTCAACAAGCCTTTAACCATGACACAATGACAATCAGCTTTGGTTGGTCTCAGTTGCTTTCCAATGCATTAAAGGCATCTGCTCATGATTAAGTGAAGGCTGCCAGGAAAGCGCCTTGTAGACAGCCATAAAAGTGAAGAACAGAACAGCGAGAGTGAGTACGAAAAGTAGGGCGGACACCAGAGGACGATAAATAGAATGAACCGGCGTGATATCCACTAGATCGTAACGCATTTCAGTAAGAGCCTGGAATAGAAATCTTGCCTTCAAATCATAAAAGTTGTACTCTACACTCTACAAATCTGGTGTTTCAAGATTGTTTGTTTTCGAGACATAAAGTATAAAACTGCTCAGACAGTTGCTTCCACTCACCACATGGGGAAGAGTTTTGTCGAACTGAGTCATATTAAGCAGCCAATAATCGGCTACGTCGGTGTGGTAGTTCATTTCGTTGCGTGGGAATATTCTTCTCTTGAGATTCGCTTTGACGGAGTAGTAATTTCGCTTCACTGGATCGAAAGGTAACCAGTCTGTCAATGAAAGAATTGACAAAAAGAAAAGCGCCACATGGAGAGGAGAAAATATAAGATCAGTTTCTCAGAGAATCTAATCATAAGAAGCCCGTTCCCAGTGATCCGCACACTTATTATTACGTACTACGATAGAGGAATTACGGTGGTCTTACCGGCTCTTAATGTTCTCATGAGTCATAGGCACAGTTCGACGACCACAGCAGTCGAGGGAAAACGGAACTCAAATAGCGACAAAAAAGCTGCTAAGTATCTCGCTTAGCCGGAAGAAAGCAGCAGGACAAAAGCAGTCTAAATCGTCTATAGAGAAGCATAACATAGTGGGTGACTAGCCTCGTCGCTAGCAGCGAGTGAGTCACTGGCATGGGCCTAAGGGGTGTGCCGCTGGCTACTTATTCGGCTCAGTCTTCTAGCGCGAAGTTCTTGCCGTTTTTCACATTTTGAAAGTAGCGCAGCCTCAAAAATCGCCTTCCGGATCGTCCGACACATTTGAGAGGTCATAGCCTTATTTTATCGCGGAATGTGCCTTTAATGTTCTCATGAGTCAGAAAAGCTTACCTTCGCAGGGCTTGAGCCCATGGATAAAATTTATGAAGCTTTTGGCGTAAAATCGATCAATGAACATTTCATCAGCTGTGAACTTTTGCATATGCAATCCGATGAAAAACTGCATGTCAGAAGCCGCTGAAGTGGCAAACCAAGCTCACGTGCGCCTGAAATTCATTTATTAATCCGCTATGCTGGATGGAGAGGCAACAAAGAGTTAAAAAAAGGACCAGTTGTCACATGCCAAATGGACAAACTGGACCTTGCATCTCTTCCTAGCATCACCTAGCTCCAAATTTACGGACGAAGATCAAAAATTCTCAGGGTTGCCAGTCTATGTGCTCGTAATTTTTATGTTCTCACCACTTGTTCATGATAATTCACGATGAGCTTTTTTGTTCGTCATTCTTCTTTTTATGTAACACTTTTTATGAATAGTGCGCTGGTGTTGCTTCCATGCAAAGCATTCCACAAGATTTCCGTTGTTTTCGGATGCGTGGGGGACTTTTCAAGATACTTGCAGACATTTTAGTAGACAGGACATTTTAGTAGACTTTTTTAACTTTTCTGAGGAGATCTCTCACCAATTTACTGTCCAAGAGCTCGAAGACCCCACCACAAGGAGGGCTGTCTCAACCTCGGTCTCGATGTACCGTTCCAATGGACACATCATTGTCGTTGTATTGCAGTTTAGGAGGGGTAACCGCTGATCATCTTCTTCATTGGAGAGCTTTTTGGTCAATTACGTGGGTAAATTGTTGTATCGAAAATAGTAGCACCGTATACGAAAAGCACTATGCAGCGCCTTCACTGGACTAGCGCCGATCACAGGGCGGCTTCTAATTACTTACTCGAACTCCATGAGGTAGACATTTTGTCCTTTTCCTGTGAATACCGTACTGTACATTACCAGAGTCGAAAAGACCGCTTGCGACAGGTAGTTATCTCGATGATCTGAAGCTCATGAAATCTTTTAAAGAAGTTTTACTATGACGTGCAAGAACTCCTGAAACTTTGCGGTACCACTCAGCCGACTTTCTTTTTTCCTATAAGGTCATTCGTAGTGGGCAGAAGCTGCCACAGTGAGCGTGAGAGAACTTATTGTTAGCGGATACGAATCTTCCCTATCACCTGTCCTGACTGATCACTTGTGCCCACGGTGATTTCCGAGAGTGTTATGGTCATGTGCTAACCTTTGAAACTCATATCGTAGAAGTACTTCTCGCGTACTTGTTTTGGATGTGAAACCTGTAGAAATGAACCGATATCGTTCGAGTTTTTATCATCCATGCTATTAAATTCGTAAAGCGTCGAACTGGAGATCATTGGTCTAGCCTGAAACAACTGATACTGTAGTCAAGTAGTACCAATGTTGGGGCATCGTAGTTCAACTGGGAGTTACTTTATAGTTAGAGTAAATTAATTACAAGTCCATTCAGAAGGTATATGGTAGGGTAGACGATATAATTTCAGCGTTTAGAATCCCTCGTACAGATAGCTGTATGGACAGCGGACGTGCAGACTCCAATGTAGGTATTAGAGCTTCATCAGGATTTCTTAGCCTGACCCCTATCCAGCTTTGAGGGTCAAGACATGCCCAACAAATGCAATATCCCTTATGTTCAGCATGTGCAAGAAAACAAAGAAAACACACCGCACTCTTAAGTACAAATTCCTCATGCGGCAGATTTTCGCCAGCAAATGGTGGCCCATATAGCATCCCATCAATTGAAGTTCATCTCTGTACTTCAATAGCCTCTGTCTTGGCCAACAGCGTCTAATGCGTTATATCTTTGGTACGAGCATGGCAGACCACCTTGCAATCCTCAGAGTGCGAGCCTGGACCGGAATTGGAAGAAGTCTGCATCTGAAAAGTTCTTGTTTGTGAAGTATCCCTCCTCTGATAAATGAAAAATCGGACAAGCTCACACTAGCTTTATTTTTTCTTCATATTTCGGCTGTTCATCAACCTGCCACGTGAGATTCTGGAGAGGATCGCGGTGCGACGCAGGTAGTTTATTGTCAGACCAAGGCGCTGACCTTGTGGAAATTAGTCGTATGATCAGGTTCAATTGTGCTTAAAATGAGTGGAGGCTACACAAAATGCCAGGCGACGTCCGGAGTCAGAACAGGAAGCCAGCAAACTCTAACTATACGTGCTATGAGAAAAATTGACGTCTGACACAGCTACATGGCCCTCTGCTGGAGCTGCATTCTTGAGGGGATCAGAATAATGCCCTTATAAACAAAAAACTTTCAACACTCCTCTGCCACCCTGCTCGCCGTCCTTGCAGAATTTCACGCCTTGTTACCGGGTTTTCTTACCGAAACGGGCGTTCATCGCTATAGTCATGTCTTCACCATGGCATCATGATGACACCGCCGGAGCGTATTGTTTGCTGTGTTCTACGTAAGTCGAACGCTGCTAGTTATGAAGAGTAACTATTTGCGTTACCAAACGGGATTGGATCGCTTTCTTAACTCTTCTATATGCGTACGATTTGACCGCGTAAAGACGCGCCCAGTTCCAAGGAGGTGGCGTTCTTGGTAGCTTCTCCCTTCGACGCTAGACAGGTATTAACGCGCGACGTGGACAGGCTTCACATGAGAACTGTCCGATCCGTCGTATAGCGGCCGAACATCCGAGGGTGGGCGAGTGGCAGTGCCGTTTCAACGCCCAGGTATAATGCCTCAGGACGATTCCAAGAGTCAGCATGATGCAATAGCTGGAGTACTTAAGCAGCCAGTAGTCAGTAGTAGTCAGTCAGTTAGTTAGTCAGTTAGTCAGCCTAGTCTTACTAAGTCTCAGCAACAGCTGTCGTCTACCAGCCAGCCTTGGCTGCTCCCCTTCAACCTGTCCCCCATTATCCTGCCTATAAATGAATCAATAAATATTATATAAATCTCCTTGTTACTAGTACCTAACACCGCTACACCATCAGATGAAGGCCGGTACCCCTTCAATCGGATTAAAGATACAATACCGAGACAGGATGACAGTGAATGGCAGTGAAAGTTTTACGAAAGGGAGGGAGGCAGTACGCGTCTCCTTCGACCTCGTTGAAACACGAGTATGATTGAATTCTATCCTTCGGAAACATCATAACCCGAACCTTAATGCTATTGGGACATAGCTCCAACAACAACAACAACAACAACAACAACAACAACAACAACTGAACAACAACAATAGATAGTCTCATCAAGACAGACTGACGGCCAGGCCGCTTTTGTACGTAGCACTAGCCTTTTCCATCTTCCTGTTATCTGATACGAATTATTTGCGAAAATGCCCCAAAAAAGCACAAGCGTCCATGCACACAAATAATAAAAAGAAAACAGTGAATTTTGAAAGTAACCTGGAAGCAGTGAAAACCACAGCAATGCTCGCACCTTGAGAATGACCCATGAAGGTAACCCTCGTCGGATCACCACCGAATGCTTTTACTTCAGAATGCATCAGTTCTAGACCAGCGATAATGTCTGAAAAACGTCATCTAGTAATACACTGCTCCACATAATGATAGTTCCACCCATAAATATTACAAAATCCCGTCTTACATGAGGTTTTCAAAAATGTCCTCAATAGAAAATGAGGTAATAATCAATACCAGTTTGCATGTCAACACCGGAAACTAACTTGAAAAAAGTTTTTTTGTTCATTATTTTGAAAAAGCGTCACTCTGACAATTCCACAAAATGACAATTCCACCTCACATTTTGTCACCGCGTCGCCTTTTTGCTGGATAGACCTGTCTCATCATTGTGACTCTGCCTTCTCCTGCTATGGCAAGAGGGCATTCGTTATCGGATTTTGAAAAAGGACAAATAATCTTAAAGAGGACTCAAGGACTGTCGAACCGTCAAATAGCACGGGATTTGGGCCGCAGTCATCATGTGATCAACAATTTTGTCAAGCAACCTGCAGGATATGGAATTAAGAAGAGCTCTGGGCGTCCTCCTCCGCTCTCTGATCGGATAAGCGCCAAGAGGTGTTGAGTCATCATTGAGAGAAGCATCAAATTCTACAATGTCATGTCGGGAGATAAAGTCAACTTTGAAGCTTGACTCTCAGAGGAAACTGTTCGGCGTGCCTTGATGAAGTCTGAGTATCCCCTGGAGGAAAATGAGGGAGGCACCGTTTCTGACGGAAACGCATCTTGAAATCTACTCGACTCAATCGACTTTGCTAGGAGATGTGGCCGAACCGATTGGAGTAAGGTTAGTTTGTAGCAGCAGTGCCCTACTTCTTGTCTGTCTTGCCTTTTAAGTTTTTTTAGGTGGTGTTCGCTGATGAGAAAAATTCAACTGCGACGGTCCAGACGGAAATCGATTTTACTGGCACGATCTTAGGAAAGAGAAGCTCATTTTTCCAGGCGGAACTTCAGAGGAGGTGGTATTATGGTCTGGGCTGCCATCACATCAACGGGACGTCTGAAGTTGTGTTTCGTTTCGAAGAAAATGAAGTCTTCCGATTATCTAAATGTCATGCGACGAGGTCTCCTCCTTTCTGGCGTAGAAATCGGCAAGAAGACCTCGTTTTCGTGCATGATAATGCACCAATTCATACCAGTCGAAGCACTCGAGAGTGGTTCAGTCGTCATCAAATCGCTCTTTTGCCCTGGCCAGCACATAGCCCCGACTTAAACCCAATCGAGAATGTGTGGGGCTTCATGGTGCGCAAGATCTATGCGAACAATGCGCGATTCCACGATGTCCGTGAGCTTAAGGAGTCAATCATTGATGCATGGCACCATGTCGACCAAAAGCTTATTGAAAACCTCTATTCGAGCATGGACAACCGCATTTTCCAACTTATTCGGAGAAATGGAGCTCCAATAGATTACTAATTAACAATTCATTCATTTTGTTGTACACTTGTTGTTGGATGATCGATTTGTTTGGTGGAACTATCATTTTGTGGAATTGTCAGAGTACCACTTTTCAAAAAATGAAGAAAAAAACTTATTCTTTCGAGTTGGTTTTTGGTGTTGGCATGCGAACTGGCATTGGTAATTACCACAATTCTTACTTGTACTTATTTCTGAAAACGCCGCACAAGGCGTGATTTCGTGATTTTATGGGTGGAACTATCATTATGTGGAGCAGTGTATCACACTTCACACTTGATGTAACGGTCAATATACGATGAGAGCGCTCATACAGGGGGGGGGGCAATAAAAAAAGTCGCTTCGACCGAGTCACATATCAGCAAAGTTTTCGCAGCCCACCAGGGCGGAAGATACCCAAGATGTTCCTCTATAAGCAGGAGCTGGCTCTCGCCCATCACCTTCATGTACACCAAAATATGAAGTCATCTCCAGTCGCAGCCTGACTGGAGAAGACCTTTGGAATTCATGTCACCTCCAACTACAGCGGAACTTCT